CTCCAGAGTGAATCTACTTCTGCAGCACATGAGCAATCAACTAATAGTTCTACCAGATCTAAACGAATACTACCGATGTTGATGTATCAGGAAACACAAAATTCACATACAAATGCTGAGGCAAAAGTGTACGAAAACCAACAGGAAAATTTTCCAAAATTTCTTCAGAATTCCCATGCTATCACCACAACTATCACCACTCACATGCTCCTGATCCATTTCCTCCACACATGCTGTCATCAACAACAATAGCGCACGCCACGCCTCAAGATCTCTCCAACGCTCCAACTGCGCCAAAGTCAAAGCCAACTTCGACACAGTCCTAGGCTTCAACACCAACCCTTTACCCGTACTCGCTGTTACGTGTTCTCTAATTTTAACCTCTACTACTCGTGAAATCTGAATACACACTATCGTGAAATTTCAATCCGACCATGGGGGATTCCACCCGATCAATGACTGCACACTGCAGTATCTCCTTTTTCGTTGATGAAGTACAACACAGTTTAGCCAGATGCAATCCGAATCTAAAAACATGAACTTGCACGCATGCACAAGTCAGTCTTGGAGGAAAATATGCACCCTTTCCTCAGCTGAGCTCAAGAGTTCCCCCAAAAATTGTACAACTTTACATTTGAATTCGGTTAGAAGTAGTGTTGGAATATATCTTTACCTTCCTCAGCTGAGCTCAGGATTTTCCGCACTATTCAGAGTGGCTATACGAACTCGGGTAGAAATTTTCAGAAACCGACGAGAATTTCCCAAAATTCCCATAGAATTTCATATTGTCACCAACACCTGTGCATATTTTTCCACACTGCACTGAGTGAACCGGGTAATACCTGCCAACAGTTCCAAGACTAAACCACTGAGGAGAATACTCCATGTGATTATCCAACAACAGACAGGCCTCAAGTACTCCCAGAACATCCTCAATAGGAGGCCTACTGCTGCATACTGACAGGTGCCTCACGAGCCTTACGACCGAGACAGCCGATGCTGATACTCCTGAACAAGTGATGAGGAACTCACTTCT